ACACACACACACACACACACACACACACACACACACACACAAACACAAACGGTCGCGGCCTTTTTTTTTTTTTTTTTTTTGATTGATTGATTGATCATCGGTGGGGGGGTTGCCTCCCCACTGCAAACACACACACACACAAACGACCGTGGCCTTCTTTTTTTTCTTTTTTTAATTGATTGATTGATTGGAAGTGGGGGGGTCGCCTCCCCCCCAAGAACACACACACACACACACACACAAACAAAAACAAAAACAAGTGTGGCAATGTATATTTCCATGTTCTAGGGGTAGATTCATTCGATTTTGCTTTTTTTTCTCCTTTTTCCACCACGACAATTTTTCTTATTTTTTTAAAAAAAATACTAACGTGAACCTCGAGACCCCCCTACCATCCCTGGGGTTCAGCCCCCCACCCCCCACCCCCCACACCGGGCCCTGGCACGTTCGGACGGAGACCGTCCGTATGCCCGTACGGCCGTCCGTCTGTCCGTACACACAGGCCGTATAGAGACCCCCCGTACAACGTACGGGGGATGACACTGAAATTGAGTACGGATTTCTTTGCCTCTTTTTGTATGTTTTTTTTTTTCAAATTTGGTGCCGAAAACTTTGAAAAGTGTTACTGCATACGGTAACCGCCTTCAGTCAAGGAACCCAAGCATGCCTTCAGTCAAGGAACCCAAGCATCTGGCACGGTCAGGAACTCAGGCTCAAAAGTGACAACAACAAAAAAATCCTTGTTCAACTCCATCGTGCGAGCAAAGCAAAATTATATTCCAAATTTAACGAAAAGTCCACTTCACCCGTGACACCGGATTCACCCCTCCACGGTGGAAAATTGTTTCGGCCAATGATAGCCATCCACGGTTGAAAATCAAAATCCTCGGTGTACGCACACCAAGTATTATCTCTAGCTCACCAGCTGACAAAACTCTGACCTGGCATACCTGCTGTCAGGCTCAGCCTGCTGAATATCGCTGGTGAAAGTTCCATGAAACACCCAATCAACCTCAGCAGCCTGTGACAGCAGGGCAGAGCTGCAGGTTAAACCACCAGTACACGCCCCCAGCCATGCAGCAAAAAAACTTGTCGCCACAAGAAGTAAAAGGCTGGCTCGGGGCAGGGTCGCAGCGTCAGAAGGTTTTCAAAATTTTGGGCCCATGTCAAATCCGTACATCCCAAAAAACAAAACAAGCTTTGGCCGTGATTGCAGTGGTATACACTTTTTGGAGTACTGCCCTCAGTGAGGGCACTTCGGCAGAACGAGGAACACAGGGAGGCTGGGGGAGCCAGACTGTCAGACTCACAAAAAAGAACAAAAAATCAGAAAAGCCAACAGTGCTTTGGCTGTGAAAGTGGTTGGCTGCATTTCAACGGCACGAGTGTGAGTATGCCCTCAGTGAGGGCGTTTTGAGCAAACGACATCATTGATCTCTGGCATGTTTTTTCCTTTCTTTTTTTTTCCTTTCTTTTTTTTCCTTTTCTTTTTTTTCTTTTAAACCACCAGCACGGGTGCCACTTCCGAAATTCCCACTGCAGGTACCCTCACGCCGAAGGCTCGGAAAATAGTGGCGCGCAGTGGGCAGGAAACTTCGGGATTTTAGGTGGGTGTACTGGTGGTTTAAACCACCAGTATTTCCAAAAGTTGTGCCCGTTAACAAGGCACAATTTTACGAAACGTACGTACAGGTGGTTTAAGAGAGCGCGTATCACCAAATGCCTGCAGCTTTGACCCGCTGAGTTTGGTCCGGTGTTTCGCCAGTTTTTCAAACTTAGCCCAGTACGAATTAAATTTTGTGATAGCTATGTTAAAAGTTCCAAGTTGAAAACTCCAAAGTCCCGTGTCATTTATTTAAGGTCTTTTAGCCCAGTTCACACAACTCGACTCCACTTGACTCGACATGACTCAACTTTGACTGAAAGTGCAGAGTCGGAAGAATTCTGGGTGCAGAGAATATGCCTTTCATCTGTTGCACTATGACCCTCCAATCACCTAAAAGATTCATCTTGCTAATACTTTGCATGCTCTTGTCATCTTGTGCAATTATACCACTTTTCACACTCAAGGGCACTCAGGACCCCCGAAATCGCGCGCAGGTTTGAGTGGATAAAAAATTGACCTCCGACCCCGCACTCCGAGTCGATCAGCGCACGGTAACACAGTATCACTACCCTGCAGTTCACATCATGGAGACTGCACAGTGCCCGGCGATGATGATGGCAGTGACCATGAGGAGGAGGAGGATGACAATGATGAATACTCTACAACCAGGTCTCACTGACTCTCACATCCCGTAGAGGCGTCAGCGTTTCCTTTGCTCAACAATTGAGAATCAAAGTTCGTCAAACAAGTCTGGTGTCCACATACGTAGTGTCCAGTGGCATGAGATAACCTACTACTAGTCTACTACCATCTTCCTAAAGAGCCTTCCCCCAAGCGCAACACACGCTTATCATGAACGCATATACATCCTGTAGAAGCGATGTTTTCGACATCCGGTACAGCCATGACACGGTCTGTTGCGTTTGGTGAAGACAATAGTGGCTGCGTAGCGGGCGTAGCCCTTTATCCTGCCGAGACTCTTGCTCCTGCAAGGCTGCAACAATCCCCTTTGCGGAGTCTATAGGATTCTCAGCACACTCTCAGAGTCTCAGCCGTCTCATTTTCCACCACCTTCCACTACTACTCTGTTGCTCTACTCATTCAGCAGCAGGCAGGCAGGGGCAGCTCCTACTTCTTGCCCTCTGGGCCTTTGCAAAGTCGAAAGTCCACAGGTCCACAGCCTAGTTCTCAGGGAACGGGCAACTCTACTTCTTGCCCTCTGGGCCTGCTCAAACTTTATGTTGAGAGTCCACAGCCTCGTTAGTACTCGGGGCAATCTCGGCCTCTTCCTTTTCCACCTCTCTATAGTGTATGTACTATATATTTATGCGCAATGGCTCTGCTGAGTCTTCTCGTTTGCCCCTTTGCGAAATCAACAGCATGTTCTCTGCTCTTGCCCGCCATTTCCTTTCCCAGTGCCTCGACTCGTTTCTCCAGGTATGTACTTCATGTTGGCGGCATGCTCGCGAGCCGCAGCTCTAGGCCACTTCATGCCCCACCTCCTAGGCTCCTTATGCTTCTGATTAGTCACTCGACCCGCCCATCAGCCCAGACCTATTGGTACACGCTTCTTCTGCTAAGTTGTTTGCTTTGGCGGTCAGCACCCCCATCTTCAATTTCTTTTCTAACTCAATAGCTTCCTTCAGTTGGCTACTTTTTCTCAGGGCCGCCTCCTGGCACTACACTCCCTACGCTGCTCTTGGCTGCTTCTACCACTTGATACAGCCTGTCGGCAGCGGCCACTCCAGCCTGTGAGGCCTTCTCTCTCACCACCCCTGCAACGTGTTTGGTGCTCTCGACAGTCACGGTACTTGCCTGCTCAACTACCCCTGCGACGACCTCTCTCAGTTTTTGCACCCCTTCTCCAGCCAGCTCCTTACCGTGTGCCGCTTGTGCAGCTATGGTTTCCTTCATCTGGCTCATCGAATCTGCGACTCTTTGCTTGAGCTCACCACCCTTCTCCCCTGCCTTGGCGGTCACGGCGTCCTTCGCTCCCACCACCTTCTCTTGTGCATGTCTGAGCATCCCTTCCAAGTATGTTCGCAACTGCGTTGCCCACTCCTCAGCTATCTCCTTGGCCTGCTCTGTCTTCTCGACGACTTTCTGCTTCGTCTCCTCCATAACCTTAGCCCCCGACTCTTTCGCCGACTCTTTCGCCGCCGCAAGTTTCTCCGCGGCCGCTTCCTTGGTGTCCTCCAGCTTTCCCTCAGCTGCATCTCTTGTTATCTCTGACTTCTCTGCAATCCAGGCCTTTGCCTGAGAAACCTTCTCTGCTGTCGAGTCCTTGACCGAGCTAACCATCTGCCCAACCCGGTCCTTGACCTGGTCGGATATGGAGTTCGCCGTCTCAGAGGCTGCTTTTGACTTTTCAGTCAAATCCCGTACGCTCTCCTCGAGGGTGGCTTTGAGCTGAGCATACCTTTCTCCGCTTGCCTCTTTCATCTGGGCCGACGTGGACATCACCTTCTCCCTGGCCTGCTGCAAACGCTCTGACATGATCTCCTGCAGCTTCATCAGACTTTCTCTGCCCGATTCAACAGCCTGGCTGGTCTTGTGCTGCCCCGCCTCCTTCAGCTGTTGAGCCGAACCCTTCAGCTGCTCGCTAGATTGACTCATTTTTTCACTGGCGATGTCTCTCATCTTCGCCGCGTTCTCCAGCGCGGACTCCGTCATGCGCCACAATTCCTCCCTCCCCATCTCCATGCCGCCTCGGATCTTCTCCGCAACCGCATCCTTCACCTGTTCGTACTTTCCTAGACCTCCCTCCTTTACCTGCTCGAGCTTTTGCTGCCCTCCTTCCTTCGCCTCGTCATACTTCCGCTGCACCCCTTGCTTGGCCTGCTCGAGCTTCTCCGAGCCAACTTCCTCAGCTTCTTCGAACTTCTCAGATCCATGTTCTGCCAAGCCGGTCTCCAGCGTTTGCTCCTTCTGCGCCATCGTTGTCGCAGTCAAGACCAGCGCAGTGCGCACACCTAAACAACACAATTCCACACAGTGGCACCCACCCATGTCAAACAAGATCTCAATCGCTGTCGCATTATTGCATAATTCAGTTGAGATGCCAGTTTGAGATGACGTTAATGTCCACCATTCTCCTTCCTTTCTTCTCTTCTGTTTCTTGCCCTT